GGAGCTCTTGGTGGGGCGGGCGCGCCTCCTCTTCACCATCACGGGTTTCTGGCTGCGCAGGATGGCGCTGGCTCTGCGAATGGCGGCCTGGAGGGACAAGGAACGGGCTCAGCACACCCACCCGCCTGCCCTCCCAGTGGGGTCAACAGAGGCCCTTCCTCGCCCTGGCAGCCCCACCCGCTGTGCGCTGGGCCCGCTCACCATACGCAGGTCAGGGCGGTACTTGTTCTTGCGGATCATGTGCCGGATGCTGCTGAGCGTGGCCCGGGCATTCTTGTTGATGGTGGTCCGCACATAGGAGGTGGCGGGCTTTCGCTGGCCTGGGGGGTGGCAGGGGTCAGCCTGACAGTCTGGGTCTTTAGCGGACCTCCCAGGCGCAGTGGTGCAACCTCACACCAGACACCCGGGCGCCAGTGCCGTCCACCCACATACTGCCACAGGCCAGGCCCAGCCGAGCACCCTGACAGGAGTCGCCTCCTCCCGTGTCCCCACACACATTCATCAACTCACTTAACAGAGAGGAACGCAGAACGAAAGGAGGCCTCTCGTCCAAGGTCACAGGCACACAACAGTTATCGGAAGAGAAGTTGTCTGCCCGCCTGCACGACCCCCATGCCGGTCAGGCAGCAAGGGCTCCGGACAACGCAGCTCTCGTCTCCTCCTGCCCTACCCCCGGGGGCCCAAGCTACCCCATCTGGAACAAGCCGGGAGGCTTGGCTGAAGTATTGGCAAGCCCAGAAGGGGCCAGGTAAGGCCAGGGCAAGGAAGAGCCCCGGGGCAAGCACCTGAGCCCCTCATGCACACTTGGGCAGAGCCAGGACCCCGCTGCCCAAGACTGAAAGTACCCCCTTTGTGCCACAAAGCTGGCGGCCTTAATATCTGAAGTAGGACGCCGGGGTCCTGGGTAGACTCCATGCTCCAAACAATACACTGCTAAAAAAGGTCTCACCCAAGAAACCCAAGGATGCGTCACCATACCCGTGATTTTAAACATTGGCCTTGACCGAGTTGCTGACCTCAGAGCAGAACATTACGTCCAGTTTGACAGCCGGGGAGAGGCTGCCCAACAACGCGGGCGGGGAAAGTGCAGTTCTCAGGGCTCAGGACACGAGAACCCTGGAAGCTCAGTGCTGCTCCTGAGGCGGGAGGGGGTCCCAGCAAGAGCCAGCAGGCCATGACCACTGCTGTCACTGAACAATAGCACGCTGGACTCCAAACCCAAAGAGAAAGCAGCCCTACTCAGCCCAGGGAAAAACCTCATTCCTCTCGCTTAACCGAACCCCCCCCCACCCCCCCCGCGGAACAAACAAAGGTGGTAGAGCTGGGATGCCCACGACTAAACCATTACCAGCCTCTGAAGCTCCTTTGCCTCTTAACCCTTGAAAGACACCGATCCAGGTCTCAGAGCAGCTTACTGGCGTCCAACTACTGCTGCTTCAGACGCAGAACTAGCCTGTCACTCCTTACCTGTTGGCCTGTTTCCCCATCTGTGAATTGGGGACATCTACCTCTCCCTGACTCGCTTCAAGCACTTAACCTGAGATCACACGACCGTGCAATCCTGCAACTTAGCCCTTAGAACCACCTGATGTGGATGAGATCCTGCTCTGCTTAACAGCTGCTCACAAGGCTTCCCTCCCGACCTCTGGAATCCTCCATTCCACAGCATTACCGCGGTGGCCAAGCCTGGGTCAACGCTCACCCGATCTTCGCTTCATGACCACTACCACCCCTTTGCCGTCGGCCGCCGGCTCCACGCCCACAGTCTTGCGGTGAATAAGCCCGTTGTAGCGGAAGGAGTTGCGAGCCTTCAGGTTATTCGGCTCCTGGGAAGGAGGACGTATCGGGGTCGCGAGGAGGGAAGGGGCCCGGCGAGGGTGCCCCCCTCCGACCCCCGCGTCCCCGCCCCACTTACGGTGCTGTACGTCTGCTTGTTCCTCTTGATCAGGAAGCTGGAGCAGTTCCGCACGACCATCCACTGCAGGTGGGCGGACATGGCGGCAGCTGCGGGAAACGGGCAGGGCCGGAGTCAAAGGGAGCCCCGACCCCGCACCAGCCCACGCGGACCTACGCGGACCCCCTGGGCTACAGGGGCAGGGTGTGACTGGGAACCAGGACGTACAGGGGTCCCTGAAGGGCACACAACGGCCTAGCACTTTGCCAGGCGGGGCTGGGCGACCTAAGGCGGCGGCCCGAACTCGGGAGGCCAAGACTAACTGCGAAGGATGCAGGGGGGAAGAGAACTTGAGAACCCACAGCGATTTCCAGCGGTGGAGTCAGGGGGCAGCCAAGGGCACGAGGCGCGCAGCGACTGAGGCCACGCAAGGGCAGAGACCCGCCCGGGGCCACGGGAAAGCGCCGCAACCACGCGGGCCGAAGGACAGCTCAACGCTCACCTCCACACGCTACGGCAGCCGGAGACGGAAAGAGGCAAGCAAGGGGCGGGGCGACGCTTTTAATAGCAAGACGCATTTCCGCTTCCTCTGTGAGCTCGTACCGCCCCCGCCTGTCCCCGCCTCCTCCCGTCCGCTTCCGAGGCAGCTCGGAAATGTTCGGCTCCTTCCGCCAGGCTGTCGCCAGCCGCTCGGAAACCTTCGGAACTCTTCGACCAGGGACCCGAGGGCGTGTCCTCAGAGAGCCACCGCTCCCGGCAGCCTTCGTGTGTTTTCGGAACCCCACGACTGGATTTCCGAGTGGGTCCAATTCGAGAGGCCCCAAGTCCCTTTCCTCAACGGTTTCTCTTCAGGATTGCTCACCAGCGCTTGGCACAGTATAGGCGCTCAAAAAACATTTGTTTAATTAGTGAACGTGCCAATGCGTGAATTACTTAAGCCAGCTCCAGCGCCTCCGGATCCTTCCGATCTTCTTCGTAACCTCTCGGCTATTCCCGACGAAGGCATGGAGGCCCTCTCGGACATTTTCGGAACTCTCCGGAAACGAGGGAGGCCGCCTTCTCTTATTGGCCCTTGCCCTTTCGGGTCTGTTCGGAAACAGTCGATTTCCGTTCGGCCGCATTTGGAGTTGTGTCGCTAATCCCGACAGAATTCTCAGTTCGCCCGCCTCGGGTCCCCTTAAAATAAACTCTTAAACGGTTTGGGGTCTAGAGAAGCTCGACGGAATCCCCGCGCAGCCTGCCACCGCAGGAGGGCGAGCTGTTTGGAGGAAAAGAGATTTGCGTGGGGAAGCCCTTGGTTCCTAATTTAGGGGGTCCAGACCTGTTGGCTCCTCTCCGTGACTTGCCGCCTCCCGCTCCTGTTCTCCCTCCTCCAGAGTTCCCACGGTCACACCTGGTGAACTTTCTGGAAGGTTATTTTCTGTTGCCACGGTCCTCTCAAGGCAGAGGAGCCTTGCGTGATGTAGCTTGTGGCTTCAGCCTCACCAGCACGGGGCTCGACGCTGGGGGGTGGGAATCTCAGGGGACCCCCGCTCTACAAAAGGATTGACCGTGGCTTAGGTTGCCCCCATAAGTGTGCACCCTGATGTGTGATCACTGCTGGGAATTCCTTGAGGGCATGGGCCTCGGATGGTCCCTCTCTGTGCTCTCGGGCTTCACCCCGAATGAGTCCTGGCATCCAGAGGCACTAGGGGAACCCCCCTTCCTGAGCCGCCGGGGACGCCGGCGACCGCCCTGCGGCCACCATCAGAACCTGCTGCCTGGCTCACTCCCAGGCGCACGGGAGGCCCCAGGAGACAGGCAGCGAGTGAGAGAAATCTCAGCTCCTTAGGGCCCGTGTTTCCTCCATTAGGGCATCCGATTGCCGATTCTCTGCGTCCCGGAGCTCCTTGGGGTCCAGGGGCCTTGTCTGATTCTTGTATTTGACGCTCCCCGCTCCCCACCCCCGGGCCCGGCGTCTGGCCCTGGTGCACAGGGGGCCCTGGAGACCAGCACTGAGCAGAAACGACGTCGGGGCTTCCACAGCACACCAGGCTGCCTCTTTAGACAACCCTGATCCTTCATGCTCCTCGGGGTGAATAAGGCCCCTCCCACCTTTATCTGTGAGCCAGGATGCCCCCCCCCAACATAGGCCTCTGAGGGCCGGGACGTGCCCAGAAACCACGGCCAGGGTTCCCCCAAACCGGGCCGGTCTGCACCCAGCCAGCTCAGGTGACCAGGCGGGCGCCGGGCACACCTGGCGCCGTCCTCTGACCCCGCCCCGGGCCCGGCCGCACCCCGGAACGCTCTCCGGGAGAGCCGGCGCGGCGGAGCACAGCCATGGCCGCGGCGCCCGCGGTGGGCGCCCCGCAGGGGTCCCCCCCCGGCGCGCCGTCCCCGCCGGCCGCCGCGCCGGGGCCTGCGTCCGGCCTGGGCCGCTGCCGGATGGCGCTGCTGCTGGCCGTGGCGCTGGACGTGGCGGGCATGGCGGCGCTGCTGACCGGCGTGTTCGCGCAGCTGCAGGTGCGCGGCCGCGACTTCGGCGACCTGCTCATCTACTCGGGAGCGCTGCTCGTCTTCCTGAGCCTGCTCGGCTGGATCCTCTGGTACACCGGCAACATCGAGATCTCGCGCCAGGAGCTGGAGCGCGACTACGGCCTGCGGCCCTCGGCGCTCGCCCGCCTGGCGCGCAAGCTCTCCCGCCGCTGGTCCGCCCCGGCCTCCTCCGGCCCGCGCGCCGCGCCCGGCTCCCGGGGGACGCGCCGCGCCGCCCGCGCGCCCCCGCCGCCCGCCGCCAGCTCCCGCCGCGTGCGCCTGCAGCTGGCTACGCTCGAGGCCGCGCCCGGGGCGGCGGGCGCGGGCCCCGAGTGAGCCCGAGGTGAGGGGCGGGGCGGCGAGCGGGGCCGCGGGGAGAGTTGAGACGGGGGGGGGGAGGTGGAGAGGCGGGGGGGAGGTGGAGAGACGGGGGGACGAGCGCCAAAACTCCAGACTGCACAACTGCAGCTTCAAGTGTCTGGCCCCTCGCTCGAGGCCATAATTAATTTGAGATTTATTTTTATTGGAGAACTCGAGTCTCGTCTGACCTTAGCCAAACAAGGCAGCTCGAGCCGCCCCTGGATGCGCTTGAATGCCGGGGAATATTTCTGCAGGAAG